TGATTTACAGCACATTGCCCACAGTTTTAAGTCTAAGATTCTCAGGAAAATGAGACAAGTGAACAGATTTGCAGTTTGAGTTATGAAATGATGGTAGACAAAGGAAAAAGGTCATGACTAGAAAAATAAAGAAGAAGGGAAGGAAAGCAAAAGAAGGACAGAATGGTAGATCTTAGGAAGGAGAAAAAAACAGAATGACTATAGAATAAAATATATTAATAAGATCTGTAGATACACAAAAAAGGAAAGAAAATAGAAAGCAGAAAAAGGGAAACAGTAAAGAATTTTCCTGTCCTCCTTGACACTTAAAAGTTTTAATTTTCTCATAGGAAGGCAGGTGGTAAAATAGTTCCGTATGTTCAAAAATGTTTGCCTGCTACAGGTAGTATACTCTGTATACATATACGGGTGCCCACTGTTTGAGTTTGCTATGGGAGAGGACTTCCCTCATTGCAGGACGTGCAGCCATTGGTACCTTAAGTCTTTCACAAGGACCCTACCAGAGAGATCAAAACACAGACCTCCTTGTTCACCCCTGCAAATCCTTCCCTGAAATGCCCAAGACAACTAGAAAATCTTCAAACCGGCCAGGAGGTCGGCTCCTTGTGATCCTGTCAGACGAGAGCTCCTTCCTCGTGTGGTAACTCTGTTTCAACGTCAGCAACCAGCCCCCCCATATCTGCTTCAGCACAACCCCTCCTGCTGCCTGACAAAGCCACCGGCGCAATCTGCAGTATGACAATAAATAGCACAAAGGTAATTAACAGCCCAACCTGCTAAATCCAAGGTGCATCCAGGGGTTCTGCGTTGCTGTCAGCCTAGGACAGGCCAGCAAGGCTGGCCAGTGATGGCTGAGAGGGACAAGCCCCAGGATAACAAAGGTTTGTTCCAGGAACCCATTAAAAAAAGGGCCTCCTAGGTGTTTTTTCTCCAGGAGCCCTTGGCTTGAAGTTCACTAACATGCCCTGACTGTCGAGGGAAGGGAGTCCTCCTTCACAAAGCCAGCCACCATCCCAAGTTTCACACATTAAAGCCAATGCCATCCTGACAGAGCATGCAGTCTTAGGCCGATTTCCTGAGTAGCAACTTCATCAGAGAGATCAAATTAAACTAGAGACAGCTAGAAGTGTTTGCTCTCAGCCCGAGCAGGGGATACGGCGAAGTGCACCCTGCCATGGGTTATGTTGGCCTACTCCTCAGGCAGAGGCAGAATTCCCTCTCAGGGAGCTATTCCTCTGATACCACACACGAGCACTCAAGCTAATCATCACACAAAGTCTTAAATAAGAACAGACAAAAGGAAAGTGTTTCTTCACACTGCAGTCATATACTCTCACCTCTTGAAGAAGGGATGTCAAGCAAATAGGTTTACCTCTGGATATCTGCTACACACTGCTTCACCTTCAAAAGTAAGGCCAAAACCAACGTTACTTTAGACCGTTTTGATGTCTGAAGACTTCTCAGGAACTATGTCTTCTGATTAATATCTATCTAACTTGCACTTTTTACAGCCTGTTCTCTAAGATGTCATATTTTAAGATGCTGCCCGTTCACATTCTCAAACACAGCAGAGGGAACCTACAGCTCATACTTCAACACATACTTCAGAGAAACGCATGAACACACAGGCTTTGACTGGAAAAGTTGCTGCCATTTTACTTGGTGTGAAATATAGGAAACTGTCTTCCAACCTTAAATTGACATCTGTCTGGCAATAGGCACAGAACCTAGCTCAGAAGTGATTTTTCTTGAAAGATCCAGTAATTAGTAGTGGAATGCTGTGTTTGTAAATGAGCTTTTACTATTGGGTTTTATTTTCCAAACTTGCAATAGGAGAGGAAATGGTAAAATTGTATAAATGCTGCTCCTCATTTCCTTTCAGGCCCCTAATCAGGAACTGTTGAAAAACAGTGTTGGCATTACTGTAGATTAATGGCTGCTGCTCAGAAAGTGCACAGGGAATATATTTCTGCCAGGACAAACATACAGACTGCCGGACAAAAATCTGTGAGCCATAGATAGGATTCATCATTGTAAAGATCCATGCGACCCGCATTGCTCTGTAATTAACAATATTTACTTTTTAGTTTGACTGAAATGACTATGACAATCAGGCAAATTAATACTGTACTTTCATGTTCCTATTTATTCTACTGGTGTTTGAAGTTTTGTGTTCAAATCAGTTCTGTAATACTTTGAAATTAGATTTTTTCCAGGTATAGGAAGAAAGCACCTTTATGGGGTTTTTATGCCTCCACGTATTCAATGCATGGTTTACGTGGTTTAAAGACCATGTAAACACTTCTTTTATATACAAGCAGTGAGATCTCAAAAGAGAAAAGATGCTCTATTGAGCTATAAAGCCTTTAAAATCAAATCTCATCATGGGTTCATTTGTTTCTCACTGTCCTTTGGCAAGGTTGTCCTTAAGAGCTCTCCTGCCATGTATATTGAGATACGTTTTTGTCACTGCAGCTTCTATATACTTTTTCTCTCCTTTTGTTGACTTACAAAATAAGGCCTAGGCTACGGTGACCACAGCAGTTTATGAAAATCTCTTCTTCTCTAAATTTAGTAAGTGCACAGGGCCCAGCCAGGAAATCTGAAGACAGACAAAGCAAAGGGTCTGTCTTGGACCTAGAATTTAAAACACGTGCAAGCTACCTGAGGTCATTATACTAAAGTAAAAAAAAAAAGAAAGGGATACATACACATCACTGCTAGGGCATGTCTTCACAGTTTACTAGCACTTTCATCTTTCAAAATTAGGAGCTGAGAGATCAAGTCCCGAAGTAGGGACTCATAACTGATACTGACAGCAACATACCTTGTGTCTGTGGTCACTATGTTGTTAGATTATGTCATTAGTAAACTAAGATATGAAGCTTAAGTATGCATTACCAATTTGTCCTGCTGAGCCCCATGGTTGTCATGACTAGATTACTTCCCTTACCTGAGCTCACTGTTCAGAGTTTGTGAGGTAGCTTCACACTGCATTGCATTCGGTAGTACAGACAGAAGATCTGTCTGCTCATGGCTGTTGTGTAAACAGTCATGATATTTTATGGCATTTTTTTCTTCCAAAAATATTGGATGACTCTACAGGCACAGCCTGCTGTTATTCTTAAAACAAAATCTTCTCACATATGCCTATATAATGTTTGCTTTGCCGGTATTGAAGTGGCTTCAAAATAAACCCACAGTCTGATTTGGCAGTCCAACAAAACACCAGCCAGCCACCAGAGATGACTGTACATATCTCAGAATGAAAAGCCATGAAATGACACAGTGTATTAGGTCACAGCCAGGAGGTAATACCAGAGTATTTACTTTGGCTGGAGTCTTCCTTGGCTCATCCTCATTTGTACTGTCACAGCCAGGCCCTCATCTCAAGCTGAAGTGCTTTAGCTTGCCCACTTCATTAATGGTTCAGCACAGGTACCAGTAAACAACTCAGATGGGGTTTTTTTGAGATGACATAAAAAATCCTATGGGGTAAAAGAATCATGATTCGTTTCCCTCTCCAGCAACACGGAACAGAAGAACAGATGCACTTTACAGTTATGATCATGTTTGTCCTCACAATCCTGTGACCTAAGTAAGCTTTAGCAGGGTCTAACCTCTCAGGGGGACCTGTACATATCCAAACACTTAAAAGTATTGTCCAGGACAGTGAAAGTTTTGTCTTGGTGAGGATTTTCAGCCCATACTACAGTGTAGATGCCAGCAATCCCCATCTTCTGCAGAAGGAGATTAGCAACAGGGGCAGGCCTTTAGTGGTTGTAAAACTTGGCTATAAAGTAAAAGACTGAAGTGAAGAGCCATTTCTGTGCATTGAACAGGAGAATAAGTCAGAGATAAGAAAAAAGATCAAATTTATTACCACTTATGACAGACACATTAGTGACTTTCCTCGCCTCCCCCTTCTAGCCCACAAAGGTCACTTCAGGATAAATCTTTTAGAACACCATGAGTATGATACATTTCTATTCAGGTTTGACACTATTCACAATCGAAGCTGCATGCTAGTTGTACCTTTTAAGAATTAACATGTACAACGCTTTTAATGAAGTGAAGGGATTGGGACATTAAAATTTTTCACAAGAGCTGGGCAGGTTTTTTTCAGCTTATCACAGATTCACTGAAAAATACCATTAACATGCAAATAAAAGTATCTCTAAATTTGGAGAGCAGTTCTGCCACAAAAAGGGAATACTTTTGAAAAGTCAAAAGTATTCCTTTTGGCTTTTTCAAATACCATATTTCAGCTCTTTATTTAGAAATTGTATTTTCCCTGAAGGCTGAGACTCCTGAGAGTTCAGTGATTTATTATCTTTAGAGAAAATCCGCAAAACTGGATGGCGACGTTCGGGATGTGGGCACAAAAACAGGCTATCTGCCACAGGCGACTTCCTACTGGGCTGAAGAAGCGTGTAAACCAGGAAAACCAATAAATCTTTCCAGTGAATGCTACTGCAAGAAGGAAAACTAACAGGACTTCACCCCACAGTGAACGGGCAGGGAACATTGCAGGCTAGATGGGACAGGTAGAGCTTGGCTGAGTCCTGAGCAGTATCTAAATACACAGAGGGTTCTAGATCATCTTACGTTCTTTTTCAGTATTAATGACTTCTAAATTTTTCCCATCGATATTCATAGTAAATATAGTAATTGCACTCACTGTATTTGCCTGTCTTTTTTCCAAACGTATTCCCCTGTGGTTGTTTTCTGCCTCTTTTTAAATGTTCAGGAGCCTCTGTGTTTCTTTGTCAGTTCTGACAGGTGTTTGCAATTTCTCTTGCTTTGTTAGCTGCAGATAGAGATGCTAAATGAAGCAGTACTTAACGCTATGACTGCCTCGTTAAACACCAGCTAGAGCAGCTCTCCTCTTATAGTCCTTTCCCTTATAGTTGCATGTCATGGTTGAGACCAGTGATTTTTGGACAACCTAAAAATAAAAAAGTACAGGGCAAATATGGTAGAAAACATGTTTGATTTACCTGCAGTTCTCCTTCCATTATACTGAGGAGTTTTATTAAGTCCTCTTTAGAAAGCTCTATGGACTTCTTGTTTTTTCGTTCACTAGGTCCAGGTGATTTTGAGTGCCGTTTGACTGTTGCAGATACCATGACCTCATCTTCTTTCCGATGAGGTTTGTTCTTTTTCTTGGCATCCTCCTGAAGTTTTTCGTTCTCTCCATGGCTGACGACAGGCTTGGAACTGGAGAAGTGCCCGTTAGACGAGCTTTCTCCACCTTGGTTTCGGGATCTCATCCCTATCTAGAAAGAAAAACATAAAGATTCGTTTTATAAAAAAATAAAATTACTCACAAAAAGCTACAGCAGAAATACTGTATTTTGGAAGAACAAGAGTCTTCTAAATACTGAAAAACAGTGTCAAACTCAAGGGAAAAGGGTAGAAGGCTCAACCATTTCAGCAATTCTGCGTGTGGCAGACAGTGAACCCGGAGCATTAATTATAAATTCAACAGAGTCCTAAAGCAGGGTAACCGGATTTTGTCAGCATGTCAAGATGCTGATATGAGTTACAATGTATGGAACTTAAAATGAGGCAGGAAAATGACAAAGAACATTTTCTAGGCTCTCCTTTCGACCAGTCATCATTTTGAATGTCCACAATTCATCACTACAAAAAGAAACAGGTTGTTAAAGCAGACCTTATTTTAACATGAGGATTGCTTGAGAGACAAGAAAGTAATTAGCTTTCATAAAAGCGTATTCCTTCAGTATAAACTCTCTATAAGAGAGTGGACTGATAATGCATGACACACAAGGAGCATGATAGTTTCCCTGAGTGAAGCATTGGTTTTACTCCAAGTAAGTAAGAAAACTTGGGAATGCAGGCTAAAGCAAGTAGGAAATCCCATCTTGGGCTAAATACCGCATGAGATCAATAGGCTGCAAGTGCTGTAAAGGAAAGTTGAAAAGAACTTTCAAAACAGACCTCAAGAGGGCATGAAGAAAGACGTAAACAGGTAGGATCCACACAGTCCTTCAGGGCTTCTCCAAAATTTCAGTTTACAGGTAACATAGCCTTGGTGTCACTTAAAACACAGCTGCTAAAATCATTCTTTCTGCATATCATCCTCACCAAACAGCAGTCTTACCTGGTTTCCTCTACAGGGTGCCATTCAGCCCCCTCAGATTAAACCCACCTTAGCTTAACCTGTCTTTTGTCTTCTCCTACAAACCTTTCTCTCCTTTCTTCCCTCCAGACCTGGCCAGGGGAGTTGCTACCCCTTAAAATCCTATTTACCCTGTCAGGTCTTGCCCTGTGTCACCAACTAACAATGGCACAGATTAATCAGTGTGTATTTCATTACTTATCATTATTAAAAAGATGTATAAACACACTCAGACATGTTTATATATGGGCCCGTATTTATATCCTATCGTGCTTCCTACGTTATGTTGAAGTAGGTCTTTGTAATTATTTTCAGTGTTTGACACTGTAAGACCTTGATTGTTATTTGGAACCGGGATAATTTTGTCATACATGATAAAAAGGCAATAGTGAATTTACGCTTGGTTCAAGGCCACATTCAGAGGCAATAAGTAAGGCACTGCAAATTTAAATCAGGTTGGTCTCCTAAAAAATCAGATATCCTTCAATATACTTAAAATTGCTTATATAACTGCTAAGGGAAGCCATCAGGAGTTTATGTTGCCTTACTCCTTTACTTTTGTATATAATCATACCTTCTGGTCCCTTAATTTTTGATTTAAACCCAGTTTAGCCAAAACAGTCTAAGAATACAAGAGAAGCGAGATTTGCACTAATTTGCTATCTTGTTTTAGATCAGCTACAATTTGAGCAGACAGACTGAAGAAAGCTGAAGGAGGGTCTGTATGCCTGAAACTCATCTATTTTTCCCCAGCAATATCAATAGATCTGATGAATAATATTCCTCTGCTTCCAAGTCTTTTCTCTCACTTAAATTCATCTCTGGATTTAGTTTGCAGCTTGTTCGTTAGTCAAACAGATGCTTTCCAACATTGCCAGCTTCACACATTTTGCTGATAAGGATCTCAGAGCAGCAGATCACTAGTGATGGGGCAAACCCAAAAATATATTGACTAATCAGCTTGGCTAATGTTACACTGGACCTGCTAGGGCTTGCTACTGACTTGACTCAAGTCAGTGTTATAAATCGTAGTTTCATGCTCAGGAGGAAGATTCTCTTTTTATTGTCGTTGGTTATTCGTGTCTTAACTTCATTAATTCAGTGGAATCCATCCAACAGCATAAATAAGAAGAGAATTAGGCCCAGTGCTTTCAAGTAAGAGAGTCTCGTGATGAGATTCCTTGCATTGTAGGTCTGCTCCTACCCAAACAATATGTGATACAGGTATACAATGGCCTCTCACTTCCTAAATGCTTATGCAGTGTGTTTTTCATCAAACAGTTTGCATTAATCACATGAATTATGCTTTCTAAAAACGGATCTCCATTATAACCATGAACAATACCTGAGAAGCTCAGGAAATCTTTTGGGTCTCAGGTTTGTAATGGAAAAATAAACATTGTACTATGTTTCCTCTCAGATAGGGCTTTTCAATTTGTTTAACTTCAGTGGGGTTTTAAACTTTCCAGCCATGCTTCCTCTCAGGAGAGAGCACTTGGGATTCAATCTGTCTCTATTTTCTGAGTATTTCCTTCTGAGTCCCTGTGGGCCACAGCCTCCAGCCACATTCATCTCTGAACCAAATCTGCTTTTCACGGCTTAGAGTGAATGGCTTCATGGTTCTAGAACATCCTACATGTTTTAAGAATAAATATGGCAAGTCTGTATTACATATGTTTTCCAGTGGAAAGCAGATTATTACATTACAGTGGATCCTGCTTAGTAACTTGTTGCATTAGCGATCTCTCTGTGGAAAGATGACTCAACTGTTAGAACCGAAGGCGCGCAATTAATTTTAAATTTAACACATGGCTAACTGAGACACATAATCCACTTCATGCATGGCATAATCAACCAGATACACGTAGCTGGATGTGTGAGACTTCACGAAAGGTTGTATGCCACCCTGTCACAATTCAAGGCAGCCACTTTGATCCACCTGTCTCTCCGAGAGTTGCAATAACAACTCATGAAGCATAAAAACTGAGTAATAAGCTATAGCTTTATAATCATGCTAACAAAGAAAGTATGAATGTATATTTAAGGTAGAAAACAGAATCAAACTAAAACTTCTGGCCAGATGCTCACTTGCTGTAAATCAGTTTAGGTCTACAAAGGACAGATACCAAATTTATTTGTTAAGTCATTAATGCAGCGGCAGAGTAGCTTAACCAATTAATCTGGATTTTCATATCAACTAGCTAATTAGAATAGGATTGTCACTACAGGAAGCCTCCAATCAAAAATTTTTTTAATTTTTTTATTTTTTTAGCACTTGTAGATTTATTTTGCACCAAGTCTTACATCAGTTAAGTGTAGCAGACATTCAGTTACTCTCAGAAGCATTGCCCCAACAGCCTTTCTTTGTGTAAAAGCTTGCCAAAATGAGCATAACCTTAACACCTACTCCGTCTTCAGTTACGATGTTGATACTTTCCCAGCATGTTTCCAAGTGCAAAGGTGTTGTATGCTGAAGCCAAAGGTGCAGGTGAACTCAAGCTTAAACGATGACAGAAAGGGCCAAGTTCTGCTATTCACACAGTACTTTCCAAGGAGTTTAAGGGCCAAAATCAACGGCACGATCCAGCTATTTCACAGTACGCTAGGGATACAAAGCAGCTGTAAGACTGACAGAGCTCCGTAAAGCATCTTTTTTAAATTAGAGCAGTGTGAATTAGCCAGAACATACCAGTGATTTCGCCTGAAGTACTATGTTTTGGAAATAAGTGCTTAGCATTATCATTTTGGACATCAATCTGCATTTCCGATCACATCATGACATACAAGAAAAGTTCCTGAGCAGTTGCATGACGTTATTTTGACATGCAAATGCCAAAAACTTTGCCTAGCTGTTGTTGCACCAAGGTTCCAGAATTGATTTTTGGGGACACTGCCAGTCTAACATTGGTAACAAACGTCCTCCTGCTGTCTGCCCTGATCATATGTCTCCATATCGTACAGCATTCCTGATCTGCTGAAGGGATTGTGTTCCCTGAAGAAATAGCTGGTATGATTTATAATGACCTTAGCATTTAATATTTAACTCAACTGTTTTTTTCCACCCCTCATCATATTGCATATTAAACTGGAAAACTTTCCTGACAGCCTCCAGTCAAACAAGAAGTCTTTATGCGATCAGTCACCTTAATTTTGACATTTATTGGCTACTTGTTTGAATATGTGCTCACAGCATTGGTACTTGGCATGTGAATTCTTCACGCTCTCCTCTATTTCATTTGTTTGTTAAGCATGAAAGACAAATGCTGTGATTATTTACTTGACTCTGTACTGTTGTTCTGGGCATGGATCCTTCAGTTTTCACAAGTTCGCAATCCACACAAGATTTTATGAAATAACCCTTAGATTAGTTTTACTGACATCACTAGGAAATCTGTGAGGAATTTGCTGAGTAGGATGTCAGGAGAGGACAGATTGCGTGCCGTTCCAAACCTTTCCCCCATCTATGGCAATTTCTTCTCCCTGTAGCGCTTGAAATGGCAGGTTAGACGAGGCTCTGTTGTTATCTGTCATTAGAATTAGATAATACAAAAGAGATCTTTGAACTTAACATATAGTCCCTCACGCTAATTGGATATGCTGATTTTGGCTACATAGCACTTTCCCTTAAAATAATAATAATATGAATAATGTTATAAAACAACAAAAAAGTTGATTTACAATCATGATATAGTTGTTGCTTTTGGCTATGACGTTGTGGTCTGGACTTCAGTTGCCGATCGAACTGATTAAGATATCATACGAAAGTGCTGGGTTTCTTAAAGACTCACAATATGTAGTAGAACGGGTGCAAAAAAAGTTTATCGCTAAGCCAAGAGTGGAATTATTTCTCTTTTCCAGCTGAAGCTTTGGGAACTGTATGGTAGGGAACTGTATCTTTTGCAGGCTCTACAGCACAGGTTTTGGAGCAGGGCAGTGAGCTGTGCAAAAGTGCCTGTGCAGTGGAGATCACTGAGGACTCAGGTGCTGACTGAGCCTGATTTCTGTTCAGTGATCACTGATCAGCACACAGTGCCAGGAGTAAAAAATAAGCTAAAATATGCTCCAAGTGGAGACGAAAGCAAATAAAATCACAATGAGGTTTGAAACACTCTATAAATGGGAAGAAGAGCTGGA